AAAATTTGGATGGTGTGATATGTCATTTGATGTATAGGGTCAACTAGTCGATCCTGCTGATATGCGAAGAGCCAAAGTAGGCGGTCATGCTGGTGGAGCAGGCCACATGGACGTCAACATGGCAGAGGTTCACCAGGTCCAAAATGCATCTGATATCCCAAAAGAACCAGAGGTTCACGAAGTACTGAAGGTCAACATAGGAGATGATGCAGGGGTTCGAAACGTGGAAGTGAAGGGATGTGAATCCCGGAGCGGAAACGGATTTTCGTTGCTGATTTTCGGGATACAAAACCGAATTTTACAGAAGAAAAATACAGAGAAAACTTTACCTTTGAAGAACGTTTCTTCAACTAGTTTTCCTCGAACACCACCACTATTTCTTAATCCAATTAATAATTAATAAATATATATATACATAAATAATTAACACTTAATTATTTATTATAAAATTAGAATCATATTCTAAAACATTACTCTCGTATAAGCTATGCACATTATTTTTAACCTATAGTTTTAATATGAATCTTATTCATATTAATTTTATTTGAATCTCATTCAAATAATATCTCTCATAATATATAGTTTTAATTCACAATTAACTATATATTATAATGTATCAATATACATATAATCCAGTAATTTGAACAATTCAAATTCTTCCAAAACCTTGATCCTCGTTTTACCCGTTATGAGCTAGCAAGGGGACCTAATGGACCTACAGATTCAAAGCTCCAACGATGCAAGATTAATCGGTCAAACTCATTGACTGAGTTAATCTAGATTCGTTAACTACGGGTCATTCCACTAAAGACCCGCAGTTACACTCTTCTCACTGCATAATGTTTTCGTGTCCATGGATATATGACCATTAATGACGAGTCAATCCTTCACGAGTATTCGTAACTCAAGTTGGGTCAAATTACCGTTTTACCCCTGAGTTACATCTTACTTTTTAAACACCACTGCTCCTCTAATGAACAACCCGGTTATGGTCCAACCAATAACCGGAAGTCCCTCTCGGCCAATGAGAGGGTGAGGCCCCTTGTTCAAGTCCCGGAGTCAGCATTTAAGAGAACACTCATCTACTCCCCTAAAGTCGGGGAGGAGTGAATTCCATCTTATGAAGTTATGTTCCCAGCTCCCCACTCGGTCTCGTCCCCAAAATGGTAGGAATATTGAGTCGGCAACTCGGGTCACTCTTACCCATACAGATCAAAGGACGAGCCCTCACGGGCAGGAGTCCATAACTCACTCAGGATTGAGAATGAGTTGCCTGGTCATCCTAAGAAATAGCAATCTATTAGTTAACGGTGTTACACCTAAAGATTGCCTATTTCGCGGTCCGATCTTATACAAACTCATTGTACAGGATACCCCCACTCGCATGTCTCCACACGAACGACCTGGATCGAGTCGTCTGTAACCTTTAMAGAGTGGGCCGTATCCATAGTGTTGCCAAGATAAGGTACCCCAGCCTTATCCATATACTATAGACCCTTTAGGTTATTCACGGGATATTATCCATTCATATATCAGGGGTATATCAAATATATACCCTGTATATCAACTATATACCCAGTATATATACTGTCCCGATTACATAAAAAATAACCTTGGATGTTTAGTTTATTGGATTTTGGACAATGCAAAGCTATGATTCAACAACAAATTTATTGAATAAAACTTTATTAAATAGACATTTGTTTTTACAAAATACAAACTACGAGTTTAGGGCAACACACCCAACAGGAAGAGGTTGAGTCGGACTCGAACCAATTTTAGACACCGACGTCAGAGGTATTGAAACGTACATCATATACTTCATTTTGTCAATCTGTTGAGGTTCTAAMTCGTTTACTTTCAGTCCCAATACGTCGATAGTACATCGACGACAGACGAAGTCGTACCAGACCAATCACAACATGTAGACTCGGACGAAGTATGTCTCATATCACAACCATTGCCACGTCCCAAAATTCAGCGACCGCAACGGGAAAGGAGAGTACCATGGAAGTTGCGTGCGTCAGTTAAAGTGAAGGTGGACGGAAAATGACATAAGGTCATACAATACAATCCAGTTGTGGATATTCCGAAAGAGGAGGATGACAAATTTCAGGTGTGGCTAGATGACCATGAGAAACGTTCAATGCGGAAGACCGCATACTCCATCAGGAATAAGGCCTGGTTCCGCAACCTATTGAGACCAGGTAACTGGTGCATAGCCGAGGTAAGTGGTCATTAACAACACTAAATGTAGTAAATATGTAAACATTCATGTTTCTAAATTGGGTACTGTTCATAGGTCGTCGATGAGCTGTTCATGTTAGTGCGGAAGAAGCTTGAGCAGTGGCCTTACCTGTGTTCTCGGAAGTTCACAACTGGCGATCTAGTTCTTGTGGTACGTGTGTTCATGTCTATCCACTAACTTCAAATTGGTCATAGTGCATAGGTTGATGACTCATTGGGTTAACTTTGACGTTACAGAACTACTTCAGACGTAAGGATGGTCCATATGCATGCATGCAATCTGATAGTTCATTGCCTTCAAGAGTAGCGGCCGAGTACGATTGGGACGGGAGGGGCAAGAGCATCATGGGTTATACTGACGGCATTCATACGGACTACCCTTTGAGGTGGATGGAAGTGGACGCCATATATCTCCTATTTAACATCAGGGGCAAACATTGGGTAATGGTATGTATCGACCTTGAGTAAGGCGAGATCGTAGTATGGGACTCCTTGAATTCAATGACCACAGATGATGCTATGGAGGATCATTTGAAGGTAATGCGCACCATCATCCCAGTAATGCTCTTCAAATGTGATGTAATGAAAGTCCGACCCAATCTACCGAGCCAACCATGGCAGATTCGACGAGTTATGTCAGCACCACAGCAGATTGGCGGTGGCAACTCTGGGATTTTCTGCGTCAAGTATTTCAAGTACGATGTAACCGGGTCCGCATTGGATACTCTTAAGACAGTCTAGGATCGCATATTTTAGGAGGCAACTTGCTTTTCAACTTTGGGCGAATAGACCTATTTTTTGATATTCCATTAGAATTGTTTTCTTATTTTGTACGTAACTTAGTTAAATTTGATAATACGAATGAATTCAAGTATATTGAGTATGATTTAACAGGGACTCGTTTAGATACATTGAGACAAAATATCAATTATTAATGGAGTTTAGGACTGCGTTTTCAATATTATGATCATTTTAATCTTTATTTTTGAAGAACATTGTATTTTACGGTCGAGGTAAGCTGGTTCACGCTCGAGGTTTTTTGCACAACTGAAAAAAATACCAACCTCTGTATCTACCTCGACCGAGTTCGAGCCCGAGAATATTGGCAGAACTGAAATTAAGAACAACCTCCATATTAAATGTACAGAACTTTAATCTCTATTTTCGTAGCTCATTGAATTTTACGATCGGGGTCGAGTATAACTTGGCCGAGAATTATGGAATCAAGAAAAATATGCGACGGCGGCGTCCAACACGAGGAACAAATTTTGGTGGCTTAATCGTCCTCGACACGCAGTCATCCTTTAAAATCCAATATTCCTCATCTCTGAGGGGGTACACGGGTTCGGCGTAACCAAGTGTGAGGGTTTCGATTCGGTACCATTTTGTTCTGCATTACAAAGCATAATTGAAAGACAATTAGAGATGGAATATATATATATATAATATACATCAACCTCGGGCGGGAAACATATTTTCTCGCTCGAGGTGGAGTTCAATATGCAGCCACGCCCGAGGTAAGTTTAACAAACATTCCATTTTGAAAACCTCTAACCCCGGTCGAGAAAGTTTAGTACCTCGTCCGATGTTCATCAAAAACATGATTCTTGGCCGAGAATCATATCACCTCGCTCGAGAATGACCCGAAAATTAAAACGCATAGTGTATGAGGAATGAACATATATGAGTTTAAAACAAAATAACAAAAGTTATTGTTACTTCGACTGTAACAAAAATAAACCAAACGAGGATCAAATAAAAACACATATGTTCAAATGTAGACATGAAGCAAGATTATTGCGCAAAAGGAGAAAGCATAAAAAAATAAAGAACTACTTCTCCCAAAATCTTGAAACTTCTAAAGAGAATATTTTACAACTTTTAAGATTTTTTAGGATTGTGCAGAGAGAATATTCACGATAAGGACATATGTTCTCTGAGGTTAGTAATGACATATACTGATTACTAAGGTACAAGTTGGTGTGCATTAAATTGGTTTTGCCGTGCATTGACGCTACCTCGGGCGGGAATTTTGCTACCTCGGTCGGGAATTATTCCAGCTGTCATCTGTTACATTTAATGACATTTTGGTCATTTCACCTACTTCTGACACATCATTAATGCTAGAAGTGGGTCATTTGGGCAAAGGGTGGATCATTTGAGCATTTCAAAAACTTTTGAAGGTCATTTGAGCAAATTTCCCACAAAATAACCGATGCCGTTCCTTCTAGAACYTGGACACGCCAGAGGTAGAATCGCCGGCCAATTGGTTGTTCGTTGTTAACAATGGGATGATCATTGATTACAATCCCTTTGGCTTTGAATTGAAACTTGAAATTTCAAAGTCAATAAAATCTATACAGGTTGCCACGTGAAGGCGACTGATCAATTTGTTTTTACTCCTTTCATCTACCCATCTTTAATTTCTCCCACTTCTCCGGACTTCTCAATGATCTACCCATTTGAGCATTTTCACAATCAGTTCATCATCTCTCTGTGTTCTCTCTCTCCCCCACTTCCCAATTTCCCTCTCTCTCTCTCTTTCTTTATGCGGGTTCTTGCTGGGACACATTTGTTTTCATTTGAATCTTGATGGCCATGGCGGTTCCTCTTACCTGTAGCCACTCATGGAGCTCTTCCGATTCTGGTCGTGCCCTTCAATTCCTCTTCTCTCGTTACAGCCTCACTGGTTCGTACTTGCTTAAAAATTGCGTCGGAAGTGGAGCTCGACTTTCAGCCAGCCGTGATCGTCGAGTTTTTTGCCAATCTAAGGTAATTCTTGAAGTCCCTTCTAATGGGATTTAAGTTATTCATGTTTGGAAGTGTTTGGTTGGTTCTTTTCTTCGATCTTCGGTTTTCGTTTATATTTTGTTGTTCGTTGTAGTAATTTTTTTTTTCTGTCTACTGAATGTTTCCTTTTGTGTGCCTAAGAATCGTAAGAGTATCAATAATACAGGTCGCTGGGTGGTTGGGGGTCAGTGATGGGGGAATGAATGGGAATAAGCTGCAATTATTTCTTAGATGTCTGGGCGTAAGAAGGAAACAAAGGGGCTAAATAATGTTCTTTATTGTCAAAAGTCTATTTCTATCCACTCTATGCACGATGGATTCTTCTTTTCCTTGACTGATTCTTTGTTTTCCACTATCTAGTTCATGATTTTCTCCTACTTTTATGGAGGAATTGAAAATGGGGTTGGGAATAATATAGCTTTTGGGAAAATGTGTTATATTTGACATATAACTTCCCGCACCAATCCATGTTGTGTTGTCTATCTATTAGGGTGAGTTTGGTAATTGGTATGGCTTTCTGAAAAGTGAAAACTACTTTTTGCTTATTAATTAAAGTACTTCTGGAAAGGTGAAAAGTACTTTTAGTTAGTATGAATTTTGGTTACATAGTGATAGTGAAATATGATTTCAAAAATTATAAATACTTTAGTTAAGTTTGGGATAAAAATGTACTTTTTAAGTATAACACTTCTTTTATAATCACTTGTAAGAATCCCTTTTTAAGTGTTTTTAGAGTTCCCATGGCTATCTAAATAGACACTTTGAAAAATTTAAAGAGCATTTAATGGGTTAAAATCATTTTTCACCACTCCAAAAGTAATACCAAGCTCATCCTCAAAAGCATAAATGCTTTTGGAGAAATGCCTAATAACTGCTTCTTCCGAAGTACCGAAAGACGAAGTGTTTCACTTAGAAAGTATTACTCTTAGAAGTCATTCCAATCTCACACTTAGTTGACAGAAATTGTCATCCTAGCGATGAATTCTGTTATCAAACCTATGTTTACGGATTATTTAAATTGTTAATTCCCTGTAAGACATCAATTTTCGTGAAGTTCTACGAGAGTTATCATAATTATCAATCCTTCATCTTAATTATTTCTTCTCTTTTTCTTTTTTGTCTCCTGTGGATACAGTGCATGATAATTTGTCTGTTTTTTTTTTTTTTGGCTTATGACAAATAGTTGAATTTTCTTCTCTCAATTTTATTGTAGACAGAGACATTGCAGTTAAGGAGGTATTCTCCTTTCCTAGAAAGTTCATTCGTGCCAGGTAATAGTGCAACGGTATCTGATGAGTGGCAAACAGTTCCTGATATTTGGAGGTCTTCAGCAGAGAGGTATGGCGATCGAGTAGCATTAGTGGATCCATACCATAATCCTGCTTCAAAAATGACTTATAAAGAGGTCAAGTTTCCATATTTCTCTTTGGTATATAATTCCATTTTTTTCCTTTTCCTAATGGAGAAAATCCATTCTCAAATATCTGTCAATCCCCATCTAGCTTGAAATTATGGTTGAAGTAGGATCTGTTCCAAAATTTCCCCCTACTACAAAGAACTTGAGGTAATATAGTAAATTGTAGCTCGGGACTTATGTCCTAACAAGTACAATAGCCTAAAAGGTAATTATATATATGGCTGTCAAAGGCTAAATAAACATAGCTGCAAGCTTCAATAGACCTAAAACAGGTGATTGGAATATAGAGAAATCTCATTGTCTTGAAACACACATAACATCCTATACTAGTTGTGGAAATACCTTTTATGGAGTACAGGAATAATATCACAGTCAAAGCTTTCTTCTTCTATGTTTTGATTGCCAGTCCTAATAGAAGGGTCCTTATTAAATTATAGAGGCTCCTTTTACTTGTTGAATTACCAACTTCCTTAGTAGACAATGATATGAATAACTGCTATGGGATACCATCTCATCAAATGAGGGATGGTATCGTATAGTCCACCTTATAGAATATTGAAAAAAGTGCTGCTTCTGCTCTTCTTGCTTTTCAGCACAGTCAGTGACCGTCTTTTTGGTCAATTTTATGCAAGGAAACAACATGCCATCTTGTTTCCTATATTACTGAATTTTAAACGTAATATGTACACACTTTATCTTATATTCAATTTTTTTAATAAATTTTAATTTACAGCTAGAGCAGAATATCTTAAGCTTCTCTGAAGGCCTTAGAGCCATTGGAATAAAGCCGGATGAAAAGATTGCACTCTTTGCTGATAATTCATGTCGATGGCTTGTTGCTGATCAAGGTATGTATTGATTACAAAATATTATATTTAATTTTCTTACCCTGATGTCTTACGAGCTAAAGTATAGTTATACTCTATAATCTTTGTTTTCCTTTTATCCTCCTTTGGATCGGCATATTATGTTATATTTGTGGGACTTCATTGGTGCATCTTAACATTTCACTTACATGTTAATGAAATAGTTAATATGATGCTGAGTTCAACATTCCATGTAATTTTGACTCCAGAATTTGTAAATCTTTAGTTCCTTTCTTTCGACTTTATACTTCTATAAAATTCAAATGATGTGAAAAGTTTCCTTTCCTTGACTAATATTCCTGTGCAAGTGGGCGCACATGCTAATATGTTATGTCTTCTTTATTCCATTTATCCCAATCAAGCTGGCCTTTGGGACAATTTTTTTTTCTGTATGTATATTTTTTTCCTTCAGATTCTTAAATCGTCATGTTTGTGCTCTATTGATAAGTATCAATGCCATTGATGTCCTGCTTTTTGTCATTGTAGTTTATGGAATGCTCTTAACTTGTCATTTCCTGAATAGTAGTGTAAGAAAAGTTTAGAATCTTAATATATTAGTCAAACTTCTTCATGATTAAGCTCCTAAACCTTTGTGTTCCAGGTAACTTCTTGAACAAAGGAGACGAAAAATAGTAGATTCCTCGTTTATGAGGAGGTTAAGACATTTTCTTATGCATATTCCAATAAGATATACAGTCAAATTGCAGTTATATCAGAACTTTTATATGTTGAGAATTCCTGAAAATTACATCCTGATGTAGTAGAGAAAATTCAAATTCAAGTTTGATATGTATAAAGCAAGCATTAACTTCATTTTCCTTTCATTTAGGAAGGTCATATTTGTTTCATAAAAAATTTACTAAATCATGAAATATTTGATAACTATTTGTCTTATTGGTAGTTTAGTTTTTATATTTTTGTTTTTCTTTTTATTATCTGGTTTCAGGTATAATGACTATTGGAGCAATTAATGTTGTTAGAGGTTCAAGGTCATCAAGTGAGGAGTTGTTGCAAATATACAATCACTCTGAAAGGTTTGTTTGAAGCGTAGCTCAATCAAGAGTTGATGCATCCACATTATAATACAAACATAGCCAGCCATAGTTCTGAATTCCATTTTAGTTATTGATTGTGAAATTACATTTTGCTTGTTACTCTTCCCTAAAACTGGATTACACCCAACGAGAATAGTATTAACTAACAAATCATTTTTGATAGAATACTATTTCATTCCATATATTAAAGTTACTTACACCATGGGAGCCCTAAACTAGTATAATTTAAAATTACGATAGAACAAGATACTAATGAACTCTTATATTTAAGCCATTTACATCCATATATATACTGGATCACTCTCTGTCAAGAAAGGTTATATGTAAATCATTCCCAACTTATTATAAAAGTAACCTTCTTGAACTCCATATAAGGCTTTGAGTAAAACATCTCTTATTTGCTCTCTAGTCTTTACACATCTGATGGATACCAAAACTTGTTGTATGTTCTTACGAACAAAATGACCATAAACTTTAATACGTTTAGTTTGCTCATGAAATACTAAGTTTGATGCAATATGAAGAGCAACTTGATTGGCCCACTAATTTAGTTCAGATTGTCATACTGAAACTTGAATCAGTCAAGAGTTGACCTATCTTCATTATTTCACATATAGTGCCAGAAAAGAATAGGAAAACAAAAAATCCTAACTGGAGTGCACAAAACAATGGTTGAGTAAAGGTAGAAACCACGTAAGATCAAATATGGATAGAATTAAAAACCAAGTCTAAACTTTTCCTAAATGGTTCCAGATTTGAACAAATTCTAACCAACTAAGCACACAGATAGATAGTGGATAAGTAGATAATTACGGTCTCTCTTTGATCTTGCAAGATTAGTTACTGCCTCTCTTTGATCATGCAAGATTGGGGAGCTTTTCTTTGCTAGCTTTTTGGGAAGGGCTCTTCTTGGTGCCTGTCCGAAGGCTTCTTTCTTAATGAATCATTTCTTATAAGAAAAAAAAACAGATAGAATGTGGATGAGTAGAATCTAACAACAGTGAGATTTTTGGCCACTCATGTGTTGGTACATGAAATAAAGCATGGAACTAGCAGGTGGTGTGTGAGCATGCACGTTTACTTTGGTGGTTGAATGGTGAGATTGGCTGGACCTGAGATTCTCATTTTGCTATGGGCTTCGACAACTCGTTGCTATTCCAAAATGGTGGTTCAAACTCAAAATTCTAGACCTCACTAGAAAGAAAAATCTGATGGCCCTAGGAATAACCTTAGGTTTTAATATCATATGAACCAACCATTTAGCATTAGAGAATACTCCATAACATTCTAGACACTACATTAGAGTTACACACGTGTATGCATGCATGAAAGTGTTAAACTAATATAGTATAAGATTACAATAGAGGACAAGATACAATAAACTTAATAAACTGTTATATCAACAATATTTACATCAAATATTCAATACACATACTGTAACATTTGAAGTTTCATGTTGTCAATGTCAACCGTTCAACATAATGCTGTAATCTTGATATTTTTAATATTTAATTCGATCCATTTAACTGGATTAGCATGTAGTTCAAGAAACCATATTTCATGTAAATGCATACTCTACTTAGATCAGATTGCCATTTGATATGGGGTCAGAATTCTGCTTTTGTTTGTAGTGTGTGGGGGAAGGTTTTTGGTTTTTTTGGATAAAAAATTCTTGCTATCTTATCTGTTGGTTGATCTTGGACATAGTTCTTAAAATTTGAGTTTTGGTTGGCTCTAGTGAGAAAATTCTTGTAAGTTCTTTGTTTTTGCAGACAGAAACTCAAGTTTGATGTCATTTGAGTGGGATAGAGACATTTTTCATATACTTTTCTTCTTATTTGTTCCTTAATTTACCTTTTTCCTTGTTTTGTAGGGTACGTAGTGTTACAATAGGGCAGTATTTCATTTCTTGACAAATTTCTCTCTCTATATAGGACTCATTACCTTTGTTTTCTGATATTGAGACAGTTAAAATTTTAATATAAACTATTTTCCCTTATAAATCATATTGATTCCAAATTTTAATCTCCACAGTGTAGCCTTAGTTGTGGACAATCCTGAATTGTTCAATCGGATTGTAGAAACATTTCGTTTGAAGGCATCCATGAGGTATATCATTCTCTTATGGGGGGAAAAGTCAAGCTTGGCTGATGAGGGATTGGATGGTATTGTAGTTTTTGATTTCAATGACATCATGGATATGGGACGAAAGAGTCGTAAAGTTATGCTTGATTCTCATGATGCTAGTAAGTTGCTAAGCTGTCTGTCGAGAAACTCAGATCATAGCAGGTTTTACTGTTTGATTTCTTTTAACTCAAGTCTCATTTTTCTTTTTTTTCTTTTTTTGAAGAAAAGAAGCGATATCCCATCTGCCTGTATTAACTTAGTTAATAATGTAACTGTAAGGTTGACAAATGTAGAAAGAAGAGATTCCTTGTAAGCATAAGTTGAAGCTGTTAAGTCAACTTTTCATAAAATTTTTGGATGCAGAGCACTGTAAACTGGCACGCTAAAAAGATGAGATTTGACTATATTATTTTTTTAATTCTTGAATCACAAGTTAAACTTGAAGACTTAGGCTTTTTAAAACAACTAGGTGCTTTTGTCCTTTGAGAACCATATCAGGACTTTGTGGAATTGTTTAGACAAGCTAGTGGAGGTATTAGTAGGCAGGAAAAAGCAACACGTTCCTCTTATTAATTTGACATCTTTTTGTCTTCTAACTCTTTTTCCATTCAGCGGACTACTAAAGTGAATTGGATTTTTCCATCTGTTTTTCTTGATAATTAGATTTAGTTTTAAAGATATTCAAACTGTCCGAAGTTGTGTAGCTTACATGCTTGATATATATATGTATATATATGTGTGTATATATATGTATATGTATATATATATATATATATTGACTTTTCTCATGAAATTAATCCACAGAGCAGGATTATATATATGAAGCTATCAGCTCGGATGATGTTGCCACACTTGTGTATACAAGTGGGACAACTGGAAACCCTAAAGGTGTCATGCTTACCCATCGGAATTTATTGCACCAGGTTTGTGTGATTAAGCTTGCTCTATTTATCGGTAGTATTAGAGCTATTTGAACTGTAACTTTCACTAATTTGTCACAATTAGCCGCCTAATAGTCATTGATAAGTTTACAGAGGTCAGACTTCATTTTCAGCAAACAAAAGTCACATGTAGTTGTAGGAATTATAATTGATGATGTTTTTTATTTGATATTCTCATTGTAGATTTACGGTAGCAGTTCTACCGTAATTATGCACCAATAGTTCTTTTGGTTATGTCCGTTCTTGTTATGCTATACATGAGTGATGCACAAAAGAGGAGGAATTGAAGTGAAATGTTACAGAGACAGAGAAAAGAGGAGAGATAGAGAGGATGTGAGGTGGAGGGAAGTTGAAAGAATTATGAGAGAAGAAGATTGGTGGGAGATAATAACTCGATCTTTTATATTTACCTTTCTTATACTTAATATGCTAAAGGGCTATTTATACGCATCTTTACATAGATTTACCATATAAATTGAACTTTAGAAGTTATTTGAAAAGACTAAGGAGATTTCTCTTCAGACAGCTTCATCAAATAGATTAAGCAGTACTAACTGCTATTTTGTCTTCATTAAATTATCCATGATATTTGTGTTGATTTACTACGCATTCTTAAAGTTTAGGCGGTCAGGTCTAGGCTTAAATGCTTATTATAGAAGTTGTTTTCTTTTGATAATTTTTTAAATAGAGCTCTTGACTTATAAAAGGCATATCCTATATTATAAAATATTTGTTCTAATGTTCTTTAAAGAACAATATTTGCTTACATTTGGTTTGACTAAAATGTAAGGTCTCCACTAAGGCCGCTTTGTGTGCCAAACATTTTCTAGATAAAGAATTTGTGGGATATTGTACCTGCTAAAGGTGGAGATAAATTTCTAAGCGTGCTTCCACCTTGGCATGCATATGAACGGGCTTGTGAGTATTTCATATTTACATTTGGAGTGGAGCAAGTTTACACGACAATAAAAAACTTAAAGGTACCTTTCCACCCCTTTTAAGATTTCATAGTTATTCTTATGCTTTAAAATGAATATTCTCTTGGGATTGAGGTTGTTGGTGAGAGATTATTTCTAAGAATCTAGGTGCTTTGTTCATAGTAGCAAAAGTTTAGATTTGATCTTGATTGCTAATGGTGTTCTTGAGGAGGCCAGCATTCACAAGAAAAAAATGTCAGTTCTTTAGATCAACTTTAAGAAAGGTGAAAACCATATTAGTTGAAATTTCTTACTTTCTTTGGGAGCTTTATCAATCGTGTCTAAACATCGATGCCCGCTTGCAAAGTAGGTGTCCTTGGATTTTGCTATGATTTATTGTGGTTTCTTGTTATCTAGTAATGATCCCATTATCACTTATTTGTTTGACTAACTTTCTACTTGTTATTGATGAAGATTTGGGCAGATGATAGAGACTAGAAATTAACAGAAAATGCTAAAGATATAATAAAGGAAAGTTACAAAGTCCTTAAGCACTTTTCGAGGTCACTTTCTCACAGACTATTCCCCAAAAATATTCTTGCTTAAAATCCTCTAACCTACTCTATTCATAAGTATTCCGTTAACAAACTTCTTAGCTAATGTCTAATATGTCCTCCTAATGACCTAATAATATTCTTAATATTTCCCTACTAATATTTCTAACACTCTTCAGTTCTTTTTCTGTCATTGTTTCTTCTTTATCTGTTCTATTTCTTTCTTTTTTTCTTCTTCCCTTAGGCTCCTTGTTTATTTTGTATTCTTACTTTTTCCATCTTTGTAAACTCCCTTTAGTTTGTATTTTTATTAAGCTTTATTTTTTACATTTTGAATAATGAGATATATGAGAATTCTCCCACCTTGTTAACATCAGGAATACTAGAAATCATGTAAGTACATCCCAATATTTTGAGAAGGTTAGCTCTAGACTTTCTATCAATATTACATTAACCTCTCATGTATTACTGTATATATCATATTGAGCTGCAAATCGGCTAGCTATATTATTTCCTTATTTATTTACTATTTACTTCCTTTTTATATGTATTATATGCCATTTACACAGTAATGGGAAAGTTGGAGTTTTAACTCTATCATATTTGTTTTTGTCAGGATGATCTTCGTCATTGTCAACCAGACTATCTGATTTCTGTTCCATTGATATATGAAACACTATACAGGTACCTGGGGTGTCTCTGCCTTAGCGATGATGTAATTCATGTACTTCTATTGAAATAACTAGAAGTCAAATGGATTGTGTTGAATTGTTTGCCTAATTATGATGTTTTGTTGACCTTTCATACATGATTATAGATTCCAAAGTACTTTTCTGTGAGGTATCTCCTCACTGGAATTTACTATAGAAATGGAAAACTCCCAAAAGGGATTACAACTAACCCACCAATTCGAGAGGGTGGGTAATCTCTCCTCCTAAGCCTTCCCAAGCAATACAAAATACTCGATACCCTTCTAACAAACCTCCTCTTCCTTTTATTCCCCCTACTACGTCCCTTACAAGCTTTTCTCTCTCTTGGCCGTTATGGCCTCTCTAAGTTAATTCCCCAATCTACCCCTCCTACTATAAGTGTTAACTATGGGGGGCTTAACAACATTCCCCGGGTTCGCCACCACCTTGTCCTCAAGGTGAAAATCTAGAAACTGTTTGCACATGTACTGGAGTGATTCCCATGTTGCTTCTTCTTCCGGTAGACCCTTCCAACTCATCAGCACCTCTTGTTCCTTGGTTTCTTCATTGGTTCGCAAAGCAAAGATGTCCTCTGACTCAGCTTGCCAGACCAAGTCTTCAAAGAGCTGAGTGGGAATCTGGGATGTGGCTGCAATATTCCCAAGTACTCCCAAGTACTCTTTTCAGCTGTGATACATGGAAAACGGGGTGGATGGTCGCATCCGAGGGCAAGTCTAGACGGTAAGCGACCTTTCCAACGCGTTGGAGGATGGTGTAGGGCTCGAAAAAACGAGGCCGAAGCTTTTCATTCCGTTTTTTAGCTATGGACTTCTGTCGATAGGGGCGTAACTTCAGATAAACGTGATCCCCAACGTCAAACTCTTCTTCACGACAAACTCTTCTTCACGACGACCCTTATTAGCCTGCCTTTTCATCCGCTCTTATGCCAGTCGAAGATGGTCTTTAATTCGATCGAGAGCACTGTGTCTCTAGTCTCTCCGCTAGTAGCTGGTCCAGAGTAGCATTAGAAGTCCGTTGGCCATCGTATAGGATAAGTGGAGGTGGAGCTCGTCCATAAATAGCCTGAAAGGGTGCGACCCTGAGGGAGCTATGGTATGTAGTGTTATACCAATACTCCGCCCAACTCAACCATTGATCCCATAGTCGAGGAGTTTCACTGCAGAAACAATGAAGATAAACTTCTAAGCATTTATTCACAATTTCAGATTGGCCATCCGTTTGAGGATGATAGGCTGTACTTCTCTGAAGCTTAGTGCCCTGAAGTCGGAAGAGCTCAGTCCAAAAATGACTGATGAAAATCTTATCCCTATCAGAAACAATCGATCTAGGAAAACCGTGCATACGAACGATCTCCTTGACAAACAGAGAGGCAACTGTTTTAGCAGTAAAAGGGTGGCTCGATGATAGGAAATGAGCGTATTAACTCAATCGATCAACAACCACTAGGATGGTGTCCTGTCCTTGGGATTTAGGCAACCCCTCTATGAAATTCATAGCAAGATCCTCCCAAATTCTATTAGGTAAAGGGAGAGGTTGCAACAACCCTGCAGGTGCCATAGCTACTGTTTTATTAGGTTGGCACACGCCACATTCTTCCACATATTTCTTAATATCTGCTTTCATTCCGGACCAATAGAGTTCACCTGTCATTCTCTTATAGGTACAAAGGAATCCCGAATGTCCTCCTAGCATCGAATCATGAAACATATGTAAAATTGCCGGAATCAGACTCGATGAACGCGATAGTACCAATCAATTCTTGTAGCGAAGTGTCCCTTGTTGAACGGAATAACGAGGCACACTATTCGGATCCTCATTCAGGTCCATGAGGATGTTTGCCCAATGGGGGTCAGCTGCTACCTCTACTTTAATTATCTCCACATCAATGATGACGGGAGCTGAAATATGAGCAAGTTGGGGCAAAGGTAGTAATCGAGACAGGGCGTCGGTTGCCTTATTCTGTAGCCCAAGTCTGTAACGTATCTCAAAATCGTACCCAAGTAGTTCCGTAACCCATCGTTGATATTCCGGTGGAACCACCCTTTGCTCAAGCAAATACTTCAAAGCTTGTTGGTTAGTCTGCACCACAAATTTTTGGCCCAATAGATAAAGGACGCCAGCATTGGRTGGCTAGGACCACAGCCATCAGCTCCCTTTCATACACGGACTTCACCTGATTCTGGGGAGATAATATATGGCTGAAGTAGGCTATTGGTCGCTGATTTTGAGTGAGATCCGCCCCCAATCCCGTGCCCGAAGCATCTGTCTCAATGATAAAAGGATTGCTAAAATCCGGTAGAGCTAAAACCAATAGAGTTACCATAGCTTGCTTCAACTTTTCAAAAGCCTCAGTTGCTTGTTCAGTCCACACAAACGAATCTTTCTTGAGCAGTTGAGTAAGGGGAGCTGCAATGGTTCCACATCCAGCCACAAACTTTCTATAATAGCCTGTGAGTCCCAAAAATCCCATCAACTCCTTCAATGTAGTCGGTTGAGGCCATTGCAACATTGCTGAGATTTTTTCAAGATCTGCCTCTACTCCTTGTGCTGATACCCAATGTCCGAGGTAGTTAATTTGTTCTTGGGCAAAGGTACACTTCTTGTAGTTGGCACATAAGGAATTATTCCTCAGCACATTAAAAACCACGCCCAGATGCGTTAGATGGGTTTGCAAATCAGGACTATAAACCAATATATCATCAAAAAAGACTAATATTAATCGCCTTAAAAACGGATGGAATACCTGATTCATAAGGGATTGGAACGTGGTTGGGGCGTTTGTAAGCCCGAAAGGCATCACTAAGAATTCATAGTGGCCTTCTTTATGTCCTGAAAGCTGTCTTTGGAACGTCACTTGACACCATTCGTATTTGATGATAACCAGATCGTAAGTCGATCTTCGAAAAGACCTTGGACCCGTGCAATTCATCCAACAATTCCTCAATCACTGGAATTGAGAACTTGTTCGGTACCATTGCTTCATTCAATGCACGATAATCCACACAGAATCGCCAGCTTCCATCTTTTTTCTTCACCAAAATGATTGGACTCGAGTAAGGACTCACACTTGGCTGTATTATCCTAGCGGCTAACATTTCTTCAATCAGTTTCTCGATTTCGGTCTTCTGGTAATGAGGGTAACGGTAGGGCCTGACATTGATTGGTTGCTGGCCCTCCTTCAGAGGTATCTGATGATCAACGACCCTGCGGGATAATCCCATTTGAGGTAATGAATCTCGTATTTCTTGCGAATGGCTGCTAGCTGCTTCCTCATCCACCACTTGAGTGGTTAAAGCACGACATTCGACTAGGAATCCCAAGTCATCCTTCTCCCATCTGCGGGATAATCGTTTAAGGGATACCTCGAGTCTAGTCAGCGTGGGATCTCCTTTGAGCACAATTCGTTTCCCATCCCTGTTGAAAGACAGAGTCAGAGTTGGCCAATCCGCTTCCATCTTCCCCACGTTTTGTAACCATTGCATCCCTAAGACAACGTCAAGTGTGCCTAGGTCCAGATGGAGAAAGTTGTCTTTGACAGTAAACATTGGTAGAGTAATCACTACCCCCCTTACAGATTCCACTCCCTTTAACAGCGGCTCCCGATCCCATGATCACTCCATAATTCAGGGTCTGTTCGCGGAAGTTGGAGTTCCTCAACCAATGGAAGAGAAATGAATTTGTGGGTGGCTCCACAATCTATCAGCACAATTACCTTTCGTCCCTGCAATAAACCTTCCAGCTTAATTGTACCTAGGGTGGATACGCTGATAATAGCGTTCAATCTGCATTCGACCATTTCTTTCGGTCCACCCGTACTATCTCCCAGTTCTGCGCTAATTTCCTTACCCCCCTCAATGAGGTCGTCGTCGTGGACTACGAAAACCCGCAGCTCCTGGTTTCGACACTTATGGCCCACGGTGAACTTCTCCTCACAGCGAAAGCAGAGTCTCTTTTCCTTTCGCTTATGATATTCAGATTCTGTCAGGCGTTTGTATGGTGGATCCTTCCTAGTAGTTTGCAGCATCGTCGTAGTTTGTGTTAGGCTAGGGCTTTTGCTAGCAAGAGTTACGGTTTGAGTCGCCAAGGTCTCTGTTCCTTTTTGAACCGTCTTGTTCTGAATCGGTCCGGTTTTCACTGCCGTTCTGGAGGTTCCCCCTGCTGCTTCTTGGACGGCCAAATTGATATCCTCAACCAACTGTGCCTTCTTGATCATCTGGTCCAAACCTTGCAGTTCCATGGCGAGAACTTCTACATGCACCACCGAATCCAAACCATTAAAAAATGCGCTCTCTAGAACTTCCTCCGATAATTGAGGAAGTGACGCCACTAATGCTTCGAATTGCTCGCGGTACTCGTGCACCGACCCTTCCTGTTTTATGGAGAGCAGTTTAGAGCAATGGCGCCGCTCCTTCGATGGATGGAAACGATCTCTCATCCGAGTCTTAAGTTGGTTACAATCGCGAAATCAGTCCCTATTATCGGTATGGTGGAACCAAACTAGGGCAATTCCTTCGAAGCTGATCACCGAGACGATCATCTTCTCCACATCGGTGAGTTTTTGTGTTTCGAAATACCGTTCAGCTCGAAATATCCAGGACTCCAGCTCTTGCCCCGAAAATATCTGCATCTCAACCTTCTTAAATCGGTTACGGTCTCCTGCTCCCTCCGATTGGATTGCCAGTTCTCCAATACCTTCTACCGCTTTTCCTCTTTGAATTGAACTTTCTCCCACTACGGTCGATGTCGGAATCGTCGGAAAATAGGAATATTTGGGAATTCAAGGAAACGACTTATAGCGATTTGGGCAAGTATTTTACGATTAAGAAGCTACAGGCCCCACCCCGTCTCCACTGGATCTGTTCCCGGGGGTTGTTCTCCAGTAATCTCAGCAATGAACGCTTTAAGCGTCTGATGTAATTCATCGGTTGACTGCTGTTACCGATCTGATTTAGCATTCATGGCAACGATGGTCTCTTTTAGATTAGCGATATCCTGTTTCGTTGCCTCAAATTGCTTTTCCAGTTCCTTCTGCGCCATTCTTCTCTGAGTCTCCAGGTCGAACTGCTTTGATACCAAGTTGTGAGGTATCTCCTCACTGGAATTTACTATAGAAATGGAAAACTCCCAAAAGGGATTAGAGTTAACCCACCAATTCGTGAGGGTGGGTAATCTCTCCTCCTAAGCCTTGCCAAGCAATACAAAATACTCGATATCCTTCTAACTAACCTCCTCTTCCTTTTATTCCCCCAACTACGTCCCTTACAAGCTTTTCTCTCTCTTGGCCGTTATGGCCTCTAGGTTAATTCCTCAATCTACCCCTCCTACTATAAGTGTTAACTATGGGGGGCTTAACATTTTCTTATCTATTTTACTTTTACTTTTATCATTTGAGATTGGATTGCCATAATTAGTGGTAATTAGTTTCGATACATTTACATATCAAGTATATTCTCAACGTGATAATTTGGAGATAGTGGTTCTGTGACTACTTTTCCACAGATTTGTTCAAGACCTTTACCATTGTTCAAAAGAATACAAGCCATCTTTGTGCTATAAATGCTCTTTATCTTGAAAAATTTATCTTCAAGATGGGAAGATAAAGATCAAGCAAAGTATTGGGCATTCTTTTTCTTTGTTTTGTTATTTGTATTCTTTCATTTGCATTCTCTTTATTTGTTCTGTTGTTTGTATTCTTTCATTTATTTGGCTGAAGACTTGGTTTCTCATTTAAACAAAATAAAAAATGTGTCTGTCACTGACTTTGCTCAAAACGGGGCACACACTTCTTAGTGTTCCATATCTCTCACCCATGAAACTTCATTTTTCACAATTACGTGTTCAAACCTTTCTCATTTTGTTGATCTCATGCTTCTCAAAGCTATATATATATATATTTTTTAATTATATCTACTTTTTTCCAGTGGAATTCAAAAACAAATAATGGCAAGCTCCAATACACGTAAGCTTATTGTGCTTGCATTTATACAGATTAGCTTAACTTATATGGAGTTAAAGAGGATTTACGAGGTATGTGATTTAAATATCTTTTCCATCAACTATTTTCTACTTGTACATTTTGAATTCTTGTTCATAAATATCATGTATTAGAGGGGAAATCTTCTATTCTTTCCATGGAACCTTACATATTCTGTCAGAAACTTTTACGTTTTGCCTCTTCGTTAACATTGCTATTAAATTAGCTATTGTCCCGGAGCTAGAGCAAAATTTTGCTCTAATCTTGCCAGATCTAGTGATGCATGACGATCTTCCCAAATTAATTAGGGATGCATGATAATCTTGCTATTTAGGTCAGATTTTTGTTAGATTGGAGTGCCTCCTTGTTTTAGTTTGGCGCCAACTTTTCTCAGGCTATCTTTTTGTATGCCATTTTGTAATTCTTTCATTCTTCTTAATGAAAGCTCGACTTTAATTAAATAAAAGAAAAACTTCCCGGATTTATATTGCTTAGTGGTGCATTCACGTCAACAATTATTTGTGAAACCAAAGTTTCCATATAAATTTCAAGAGAAGTATAAATTTTGACTTTTGTTTCTCTTTGCCTTGGTGGTTAAGGATTTTGTAATTATTCGTTATGTCTTATTGTGTTAGATTAGAGCCCTTTTGGTTTAGTTTGGCTTACTTTGCTAGGGTTGTCTTTTTGTATGCTTATTATATTCTTTCAGTTTTTTTCTCAATGAAAGCATGTTACATTTTAAAAAGAACATTTGGCTTTTTTTTTCTATGGACATTTTGTATAATTTTGTATTATTTCTTTTTATTTGATTCAATATCTTTTCCAAAAATGATATAACTATTTTATTGACACCTAGTTTCATCTCACCTAACTGTTGTATGATTTCGTCTTGGCTCACAGGGAACCTATCTAACAAGAAGCCAGGTTCAACCTTCACATCTTGCCTCAGCATTGGATTGGTTATTGGCAAGAATGACTGCTTCAATATTGTGGCCAATTCATATGCTGGCAAAGAAATTAATCTACAGTAAAGTTCAGTCTGCAATTGGAATATGGAAGGTATTCTTCTTTTTTTGGTCCATTTAGAGTGAGTTTGACATATTTTTTAGTTTAAGCGCTTTTTCTTAAAATAATTTTTAATAAAATGCTTTTAGTTATGCATTTGGTTACATATTTAATATCTTGCTTTTAACAACAAATTTTTTTGATTGTACTATATTATAAATTGATTCCACTCATCAGAAATGTGTTGTGTTTTTTTTTCTCCTGATTTTCGGTCAATCTATTTAAAGTAACTATTTGGATAATCACTTCTCAAGTGTTTTTTAAAAAGAGTCTTTAGATAATCCGATTTCTTAAAATGTTTTTTTATTTATTACTAAACACAAATAAGTGATTGTATTAAAAAAATAAATTCAAAAGTCATCCCAAACACACTATTAGTACTTTAAAACATACATACTCAACAAAATTGCTTTTTCTTTTTTTAAATACAAAAATTCAAGCCTATTTTGTATCAAATCTGAGTACAATTACTTGTTCCAAAAACAAAAATCACATCAAATAAATAAGAAATGACCTATTTAATCTAAATTTTGTCAAATACACACATTATTACTAATATATGTATATATATACATACATATATATTTTTTTTAATAAGAAATAATTTCATTGATGGTTTGAAATTATAAAAGGGGACAATGCCCCGTCAAGAGGAGTTACAAAATAAGTCTCCAATTAGATAAAAGACTCAAATACCTATAATGATAGAAAGGGGGAGCATTTACACCATGATATAACTAGTAAGACTATATCATTAGGAAAGGGTCGCTCGTTGTCTTTGAAGATTCTGTGATTCCTCTGTAGCCAAGTGTTCCAAAATAAAGCTCTAACAAAATTCATCAAAAGGAGCTTCTTTTCTTTCCCAAAGGGGTGTTCCTCTGATGTAAAATGTAGAAGAGCTTTAGGGTCGGTAGGAAGAGCTGTAGACCAATTAAAGGCACTGCAAATGTGGTTTTAGAAGATGACCGCCTGGTTGCAAGAGCTAAAGAGGTGTTGCTCTGAATCAGAGGGCTGTTTTTGCAAATGGGCACCAATGGGGGAGATACACCTGAAAGGCAGTCTTCTTTGAAGCTTATCCTTGGTGTTAAAGACTTTTTTGCTAACTTCCCATAGGAAGAATTTGACTTTTTTGGGTATTGGACCTAGTTGTCCTTCCATATGGTCTTGTAATTGAAATCGGGGGAAGGGTTATGTGTTCCCAAAGAAAGAGCTTTTAATAGAGAGGAGGTGGTGAATGTACCAGGAACTTCAAGCTTCCCAAGGGGATGTCTGGTGATGAGGTTAGGTAGGGCAACTGTTGCTAGGCAATTAGTAATATCAATCCAGTCCACAGTCTTTCAATTTCCTCCTCATGCGAAGGTTTCACATATTTGAGTCTGTCATCTAGAAATCCGTTATAGGGGCCATCTTTTTAGCATATAGGTCATATAAGATGGGGAAGGTGCTGGCTAATGATTCTTCCAGCAGCCACTTGTCATGCCAGAAAGAGATGTTGGATCCTTGTCCAACCTTGTAAATGATGTGGTCATAAATCAGCTTTTGGCAATGATAAATGGCTTTCCAGGGACCTTTGGCAGAGGCTAAAGAAAAGTTCCCATGTCTGAGAATGTGTGATGATGGGCCATATTTTGCAAATATGACTTTCCTCCATAAGGCTTTTCTCTCGGTGGCATATCTCTAGACCCATTTAACAAGCATCGCCTTGTTTTTGTTCTGTAAGCTGCTGAGACCAAGCCCACCATTTTCAAATGGGAGGAGAGTGTTCTGCCATTTCTCAAGGTGAAGGCCACTGTTTTCAATGTCTCCTTTGCCAAAGGTAGACCAAGGATGGCATTTTGTAAAGGGAAAGGTAATAAATGGGGAGATGTGATAAAAGTAGCTTGAATGAGGATAAGTCTACCACCTTTGGAGATGAAGAGTCCGTACAAGAGAGGATTCTCTTCCTAATTTTCTCAATCACAGGATTCCAAAAGGAGAGAGATTTTGGCTTACCATTGAGAGGAAGACCCAAATAAGTATTTACCTAACGGCCCACTTTGCAGCCAAACCTTGCCACCACCTTTTCCACTTCCTATCTGGTGATATTTAAGCTGATAAGTTCAGATTTCTGCTGGTTAACATTGAGGCCGGATGCTTCTTCAAATAGGCTTACAATGTTGAAAAGGTTGATGAGGGCTTGGTCTTCTAGAGCAGAAAATAGATAGTACCATCAGCGAATTGTAAATGGTGGATCTCTATGGAATTGTTCCCCAATTCAAAGCCTTTTATCAGATTGTGTTCCCCGCATGAGTCATAATCTGCTGAAAACATCGACTACCATAATGAATAGAAAAGGGGATAGGAGGTCTCGTTGGCGAAGACCTCTCAAAATCTGCACTTATCGGCTTAACTACCGTAATGAATATAATATTACTAATATAAGTGTGACTAAAAGAATGGGAATGATCTTAATATACATTAACGGACTGGACGATTGTCTCTGTATTTGATACATATTAAAAGACGGATGAAGTCTCTCTTCTAGTTGTCTTTTTGCCTATTCTAACTCATAATCCAGTTGACTTGTTACTTTTCTTTTCAAGTTTCTTTATTTCGTACTATTGTCCTCTCTTCACATTCCTTTTTTTCTTTTCCTCTTTTTGTGTTTTCAGCTGGTTTTTGAATGTCTTATAATACCCTTTACATGAATCTTATAATTACATAAAGTTTTCTCCCAGTCAACTTATTTCTTTTGTGTTATATATTTTATCCATAGAGCATCCAATCATTTCAAAAATCAAAGATTTTTCTTTTTTTCTTTTTTTTTTTTTTGGGATAAGAAACAGAATGATATAAATTAGAACAACAAAAAGGGAGAACAACCTACGGGCGAGGGTCGAGGAGGCCCTCCCAAAGAAAAACTATCACAGTACAACTTTTCAATCCAGTGAAAGAGAAGCTAGACTGTAATTGCAAAAGAATCTCCTATAAGTAAGGCACCAAGATGTAGTAATTTGTACATTTTCACAAAAAATATCAAAAGGTTGGGAAGTGTCGTTGAAAACTCTTTGGTTTCTTTTCTTCCATATACTCCAAAAACAAGCTCTCCCAACACAACTCCAAAGGACCCTCGCTTTTCCTTTTAGAGTACCATCGTGAACTATTTCAATCAGCCAATCATCGACCTTCTTAGGAAGACAGCCCGAAAGGCCACATTCTCTCGTTATAAAAAACCAGCAATTTGATGCAAAAGTGCAATATAGAAGCAAATGATCAATGTTCTCCTCGTTTCTAAGGCATAGGGAGCAAACAGAGGGAAAATCATCCAATTTTGAAGCTTCTTCTACTGTTTCTCATGAGTATTTAAGCTTCTGTAAGCTACACTCCAAAGAATGACTTTGATCTTTTTTGGACTGGAGAATTTCCATATCAAAGTAATAAGAGGGTACTTTAGAGAGGGAGTCACTTCCGTAAGCTTTTGGAACATAGATTTGGTGGTAAAACATTTCTCCCCTCCCAAAGCCCATTCCACCTTGTCTTCACCCACCTACCATCTAAAGGAGTTTAGCATCTCCATCAACCTCATCAAGAAACTATAAGTAAATTGCTAACACTCTAATTTACATGCTTAACATGTCACAGACACAAAACCCAGAACCAAACTTTAAAAGCTTCATAGACAAAATTGTCAGTAGAACAAGTTACGCTTGAATTTTAAACCAATAGATTCAGTTTGAGAAGATGGTTGTTCTGTCCGTACTATCGTCTGGATAATGTCATCAAACATCTTGTTTATTTTGGGTTGTTGGCGACTATACTTTTTATTCACAAGGTTCTTGATATTAGGACAGCTAACTATCCCTAGAATCTGCAGGCAGGCATAAGTGGAGGGGGCAGTTTGCCTTCACACGTGGATCAATTTTTTGAGGTTAGATGCTTAAATCTGTTTAATGATTGTAAATGAATATCTTCGCTTACAATTGATATGATTTAGCATTCTTGCAGGCAATTGGCATCACAGTGCAGAATGGGTATGGTTTAACAGAATGTTCTCCTGTTATTGCTGCTCGACGACCTACCTGTAATGTAAGTAACGTTCGTAAAGAAGTTCATCTCTATGGATAGATGCCTTACTTCTGCCTGTCACTCTCATTCTATCTGGGACGACATACTATCATATATTTTAAACATCTCTTTAATTGAATGGAATGCTCATATAATGTCTTAGTTAATTTTGGAGTATATGATTGCAATAGTTTGACAGAGTAATAACAATGTTTTCCAAAAAAATTTTTGATATTCCTTACCAGCATCCTCTGACTGTAATAGATCATATACTGTTTTTGGCCATTCTTCTTAGTAATGGATGAAAATCCCTATAATGGGCTAAAGTGATGCTAACCTTAGCAATAAACTATGATAGATTAGCAACCATTGGTTATTTCCCTTGATCAATTATTGGAAATTGGTCTTGTAAATTTCAAACTAGTAGCTTTAATCATCCTGATTATCAAATGGCTTTCAAATTGTTTTAGTGAGCTTTCTTTCTGTAGATTAAAATTCAACGTACCACTCTTTGATGTCGTTATGCCCAATTCTTTAAGAAAAGGATATTATATACTCATTTTCTCCCTTGCTAAGATTAACTGTGTTATTTGCTCCATTTTGTTTTCAACCTTTTCCGCACCTATTGGCAGATTATGTGACAGTTAAGCAGATTTTAACTTTTAAAGGTTCTTGGTTCGGTTGGACATCCAATTCGGCATACAGAGTTCAGGATTGTAGATTTTGAAACTGGAGATGTTCTCCCAGCTGGATCAAGAGGCATNGACTCATCACATCCTGGGGTTGAAGAAGGTCCCAAGGGTTCGGTTGTTCGCCGATTCAAGTGGTACGTGAGTTGGGTTTAGAACGTCGTGAGACAACTTGTTTCTTTTGTGTTATATATTTTAACCATAGAACGTCCAATCATGTCAAAAATCAAGAAAATATTATAAGTAAATTGCCAACTCTCTAATTTACATGCTTGACATGTCATGGACACAAAACCCTCCAAACTTTGAAAGCTTCATAGAAAAAATTGTCATAAGAACAAGTTATGATTGAATGTTTGAACCAATAGATTCAGTTTGAGAAGATGGTTGTTTAGTCCGTATTATCGTCTGGATAATGTCATCAAACATCTTGTTTATTTTTGGTTGTTGAAGACTATACTTTTTATTCACAAGGTTCTTGATATTAGAACAGCTAACTATCCCTAGAATCTGCAGGCAAGCATAAGTGGAGGGGGCAGTTTGCCTTCACACGTTGATCAATTTTTTGAGGTTAGATGCTTAAATATGTTTAATGATTGTAAATGAATATGTTCGTTTACAATTGATATGATTGAGCATTCTTGCAGGCAATTGGAATTACAGTGCAGAATGGGTATGGTTTAACAGAATGTTCTCCTCTTATTGCTTTGTATGGAATGCTCATATAATGTCTTAGTTAATTTTGGAGTATATGATTGGCATAGTTTTACAGAGCAATAACAATGTTTCTCAAAGAAATTTTGATATTCCTTACCTGCATCCTCTTACTGTAATAGATCATATACTGTTTCTGCCATTCTTCTTAGTAATGGATGTAATGTAAGTCAATATAATGTGCTAAAGTGATGCTAACCTTAGCAATAAACCTATGATAGATTAGCAATCATTGGTTGTGATTTCCCTTGATCAATAATTGGAAATCGGTCTTGTAAGTTTCAAACTAGTAGCTTTAATCATCCTGATTATCAAATGGCTTTCAAATTATTTTAGGGAGCTTTCTTTCTGTAGATAAAAATTCAACGCACCACTCTCTCTTTGATGTCGTTATGCCCAATTCTTTAAGAATAGGATATTATATACTCATTGTCTCCCTTGCTAAGATTAACTGTGTTATTAGCTCCATTTTGTTTTCAACCTTTTCCATACCTATTGGCAGATTATATGACAGTTATGCAGATTTTAACTTTTAAAGGTTCTTGGTTTGGTTGTACATCCAATTCGGCATACAGAGTTCGGGATTGTAGGTTTTGAAACTGGAGATGTTCTCCCAGCTGGATCAAGAGGCATCGTTGAAGTCAGGGGACCTCAAGTGATGAAAGGTTACTATAAGGTATTTTCATCTCTCGGTCATCTATACACTTCAATTTTCTTATGTTGTACTTTTCTCTATTTGAAATATCATTTTCATCTTAAATATGATAATTAGATTCTACAACTAAATATGATTGCACTATAGATGATGTATTTGTTATTTTTTCCTTGAAAGTACTAAGCTTTCTTTGAGATAAAATGAAAGAATACAAAAGGGTATACAAGAAGACAACCCTAGCAAGAGGAGTCGAACTAAACCAAAAAGGGACTGCAATCTAACAAAATAAGACCTAAAGAATAATTACAAAAGTCCTTAACCACCAAGGCCCAAAGAAAAATATGAAATCTAACATGAGACCAAACCTCCAACAAATATCTCTCAACCCTCTAAAAATTCTATTGTTTCTCTCCATCCACGAATCTTGGCAAGCCAAAGAAAACATCCCTTATCATGAAAGAGCGAAAAAGTGAGCAACTTCATCAGCACACTACCATCTCTAGGACGAGCGAGCCTAAAACCAAACTCTTAAAAAACACTGTTCCAAACCAAGTGTGCAAAATTGTCTGGGATTTGTAATGACTGTAGTTTTGGTATTCCTCAAGGAATGCCACGTACAGCTGTATAGTTGAATATCTCTCTTATGGAATTACTTATGTGCATATCTAAGATTATCTTCCAGAAACATAGACGATAGGTGTTGTTATCTCTTTTCTTTATTTCTTTAATTATTCCTTTAGGACTCAATTGTATAGGATTCTATGTTGTGAAGATATATACTATTTCTTTTGACCATATTTCTCATGGTTTAGAGCTGATGATGCTTCTTAATATTTGATCAATTAGGCTTTCATTACCCACAGGTGTGTAATAATACATATATTTCACATAAAGATGAGCAAGTGAATTTATTAGTTTGGCATTCCTCGTTCTTTTTTCATTTATATGCACATGTATATATTACTTTGATCAATACATGAAATAAATAGTGCACATTGTTGAGTTTTAAATCCACCAGACTAGTAATGATTTTAACAAATTCTCTTCAATTGATATTATCTTAGAACTCATCTGCTACACAACAAGTCTTGGACGAAGAGGGTTGGCTTAGCACTGGGGATATTGGGTGGATTGCTCCTCACCATTCAAGAGGCCGAAGTCGGCGTTCTGGAGGTGTAATTGTTCTTGATGGGCGTGCAAAAGATACCATAGTTCTCACAACAGGTTAGAAGCTGAAGAAGTAGATCAACAATTTCCAAAAAGGAAAAATATTTCATTTATTTTATTTCCTTTTTGTATTTGTTTCTTTCGTAAGCATTTTTAAAGGAAAATAAGAAACTGGGTTTTTCTTTTTCTTTTTTGGAAAGAAAGTAATTGAAAGGGAGAGTATTAGGTTGTGTTCTTCTCTTTTAAAAGTCTGAAATCATTCTTAACTCTAGTTTTATCTTTTCACAGATCTAGGTATGAACTTATCTAGTTTGTATTTTGTACTAATAAATAATATTTAGTTTGAATGAAGCATCTCATTGGTCATTTCAGAAGCAAGAAGAGTGTTTTTTCTTCCAAGGAAATTATAAAGGGAGCACTTTTATAAATTATACTAAGCAAGAAATTAATGCATCCAATACTATTTTATGGTGAATTGAAAATAGGTAACTTGAATTTTTAATCCAGTTCTTATCTTAATAAATTTCTCATTCATCCAGTCAAATTTTGCCTGCAATTAGTTTTCTCAAGTATGTTAAAATTTTCATTGATCCTCCCCCACCCACCCACCCAAATTTATTTCTAGCAAGACAGCTTTCCGGTAAGTTTACTTCATTGGAAACTCTGGTAATCTTTTTTTCGTATTTTCAAAATTATATTTCTTGGTGAAAATAGGTGAAAATGTTGAACCAACGGTTCTTGAAGAAGCCGCTATGAGAAGTAGTCTCATTCAACAGATTGTGGTTATAGGCCAGGTGGAGTTCTATTATTAATTATAGTTTGTGTATAATAGATGTTGCTTGATTTCCTGAACTACCTCTTCTTATTTTCCCATTGGCTTTACCTTGTCCAGGACCAACGACGACTAGGAGCGATTATAGTTCCCAACAAGGAAGAAGTGTTATCTGCAGCAAAAGATTTGTCTGCTGTAGATTCCAGTTTCTCTGAGCTTAGCAACGAAAAACTTACAAACATGATTTATAGTGAAGTAAGAAAGTGGTAAGACTTTTTGTTTCTTCCCAAATTTCTACCATTCTAAGGATATCAAAGCTATGGAAAAAGTAGGAAAATTGTTGGATAAAAATTATTTTTGGAAGAAGAGGTTGTTTTCAAGATTTCAATCTTATAACTCTTTATCTGCCAGTCTGAACATAGCTCAACTAGTTAAGACATATATCATCAACTAAAAAGTCAGAAATTTGAATCTCTTGCCCTCAAAAAAGGAAAAAAGAAAAAAAGAAAGTCTTTATCTTTTATTATTCAGTTTCAATATTTAGGTGAATGGAGTATTTGGTAGGTACTTGAGAAGATCTTCTTAATCCTGTTTGGATATTAGTAGAAAAACCTTTTCTTGTCTTCGTTCGTGGATGTAGGCTTATTGGTTGAACCACGTAAATTCTATTTATTCTCTTGCTATATTTTGCATTTGTTGTAGTTTAGTTTACGTTTCCACTTGGCATTATTTATTTCATAACAGTCAAAAGGTTTTCTTTTTTTTTCCCTGTTCAAAATGATTTCTTCCGTGGCGTTGAACTGCTTTGGGAACTTTATTTTGCTTAGAAACCCATCTAAATCTTAGAAGTTTTGAATTCCCATAAATATTTGTGGTGTTCTTATGTTTATCTCTAGCAATTGAGTAAGTTTTCAGTCCGGTAAGAAGAACGAAAGCTTGTCGATTGCAATATAATGTTTCGATTTCATGCAGGACCTCAGATTGTCCCTTTCAAATTGGACCAATCCTCATTGTCAATGAACCATTCACAGTATGAAATTCTTGCTCACCATCATCTTTATTGAGCTCGTTAGCTCAACATAATTGCTAGTAAGGTCTAAAAACTTGCATTTTGCCCCATCCTTTTCATCAACTCCTTTTACTTATTGAATTACAGATTGAAAATGGCTTACTGACGCCGACGTTGAAGGTTCGAAGAGATAAAGTTGCTGCTCATTACAAGAAGCAAATAGACAATCTATTCAAGTAACTTGGGAATTTGTCAATTAAGTGAAAGCTCTGTTCATTTTCAGGTAAGCAAATGCTCATAAATTTGAAGGCAAAGTGTTTTCTGGTGCAAGCTTTGAGATTATCTGATGTTTAAGAAACTCTTTTACCATTTGAACTCTGTGGTAAATAGTGTGTCTATTCTAAGCTTGTTCGTCATGTTGATAACCATGACCAGATGAAGTCCTATCTTGGATAAATCTCGAAAAAATAATAAAAGATTATAATAACTCTTGATTTTTTCCAATAAAACGTGCGTATTCGGACCCGGATTTATATAACATAAAATAGACATGTATTCTTAAATATAACGGAAAATTTGAAAAATAAGTTGAAAATAATATGCTATGTATGTTAAAGAGATGGAATGAAAATCTTCTTTCGTTTCTCGTCCTCTCTTTCTCTATCCGACTCTTCTACTTCAAACAATGTTTTATAGTGATAATGAAGTTATCGACTTTAGTATAGTTCAATTAGTTGAACTCGGTAGGTTCGAGTTTTGTTTTGTTTTGTTTTTTTTCCTTAACTTTTTAGTTTTAGTCATCGTATAAATTTACTTCCATTGTATTGTACTTGCCTCTTTAGAAAGAGATTGGTAAGAATTCCAACACCCAAAAGTCAGCAAAATGACTTTATCTTCTTCCTCTAATATGCCAATGAAACCGGATCTCGAAAGCTATGGTTTATCCATGGAGGATCCATTTTTTGGACCCATTAAAGACCATTAGAGGTGCTTTTATATATTAAAATTTTTGTTTTAAATACTACTGTGGTTTATATAATTTTAAAACGATCATTTTGGTTTCTGTATTTTCAATTTTTTTCATTTGTCTCCGTACTTTTAAAATATCTATCTTTGTCTCTATATATTTAAAATGTGACCACTTTGATCCTTTCATTTTCATTTTTATATCATTTCTTTCAATCATAATTTTAGTACGACATTTCACTCACTAGCTATAAGTTTGCATTAAAGGTTTCTATTTTGTATAAAAATTTATGTTAAAAAATTTTGTAGAACGAACTATAAATTGATCACTTTGTAAAAGTACAAAGATCAATACAGATATTTTGAAAGTATAAATTGGTCACTTTGATCCTTCCTCGCCGTTTTCAGCCTCAATTTGTCTTCTTGGTTTTTCTTCGTAGTCCCTTTGAATTTCTTCTTCATTTTCGTTTTTGTTGGCGATTGTCTTCGATTTTATGTGTTGAGGAGTTGAATGGTTGTTTATTTGCGTTGATTCAGTTTTCCGATGTTTAGATAAACGAATACATGTATAATATTGCATCGATTTAGATTTTTTTACGTTGATTTCGTTTTCCGGTGTTTTTGTTTGTTTTGTCCCTTTTTTTTCGATTTTTCGTTTATGTTGGAATTGAGGTATGTGGCCGTAGGAATTTGATTTGAAATGTTTAAGGTGGTGTGGGAAATTGAAAACGAATAAGTATTTCGGGCGAAGTGGGATGGACCTCGAGCGAGGTTGAAGAGATTTGAAACGTCACTCGAGGTTTGGTAAGCATCTGCCATTTTTCTCAGGTTCGACCTCGGGTGAGGTTGAGCCCGAGGTAATTGTGCTCAATGTTTCTATGCCTCTGGAAAATTTCTCGGTCGCGGTCTCGCCCGAGGTTGGGACCGAGGACTTTTCCAGAAGCTTAGAAACATCGAGCAAGGTTTTAAATTTCTCCCAAACGTCGCTTGAGATTGAGCCGCTTTCAAATACCTCGGGCTTAACCTCGTCCGAGGTCGAATTCGAGAAAAATGACGGAGGCTTAGAAACCTCGAGGTTGCGTCAACTTTTTCTATCACTAACCGTTGACTTYTAGCAAAAGCTATGAAACCCTACTCGAGGTTCATCGTTTCTTATGAAACTTGACCGGGAAACCATAATTCCCGCCGGAGGTTCATAGTCAGCCTTCACAGAATCATGCCAAAATACGAAACTAAATTTAAAAATGACAACCTCTTTCAAAATCAAAGCAAACAAAACAGCAAAATTACTTTTCAAGTGTAGTCCAATCTTAAGGAGAAATCGAAAGTAGCAAAATTAAGGGCAAAATTGACTATCTCTAAGATCAGTATTGGATGTAGCAGTGGTACAATGGTTGTTGTGAATTAAATGATTCCCGATCGAGAATTAATATGATCCCAGTCGAGGTTTTTTCCAGCGGTCATGTCTTATAATTAAGGGCGTTATGGTCATTTCATCTCCTTTGATAAACATCGTTGAGACTTGTTAGACACATAATTGAAAATTTAGACAATTTTAAAATTGGGATTTGTGAGATATAAATTTGAAATTTCAAGGTGCTTATTAAACAATTTAAAAGCTTAGAGGCTTCGGGGTATAAAATTGAACGTTGCCTATTAGACGTTTTTTAAAGTTTAGGAATCTATTAGATGCAACTCTAAAACATTAAGACCTAAATTTGTAGCTTAATCTTATTTTTTAAAACATAAAACATAAAATAGTTAAATTGAAGATAGTTAAAATTGAAGGTTCACAACTCACATTTGAAGGCCTGCTATTTTATATTTAGTATCAAAATAGAAGGAAAAAATATGGTTAAATAAAATTGTTGGAAGAAAACTTAAAACAGTTCCAAAATAATGTGAATCAAATCGTATATAATGAAAAGTCATGTCGAGTGTAACTTTTGTGGTGGCTCTACGATGGAGTCGGACAAAATTATGTTGGCAAGAACAAATTCATCGTGGCAGTGAAAATTCGTCTATCAGCAATAGTAGAATTAGAGAAGAGTAATGGAATCTCTAAGCGTAATTGAACTTCAAACTTGCTACATTCATCAYTTTATTTATGGCTAGCAGCCTCGTTTCTTTTCTTAATATGTCTTAGTGCTAGTATATGGTCTCGGGGTATATAAACTTACAACGATGTAACTTAAGCAAGATTAGAATTTTAATTCATAGTTAGGAATTATAATTGATTCAATTTTGTAACGCTTTAATTGATACAATTATTAGGTTTCGGTTTTATTAATTAACCTACAAAGTTGAGAGGTATATAAATAATTCAAATATACAAAGTTATGATTTATGAATGATTAATCTTATTTTCTAAACAATAAAATAAGATATGTCCATAATGAGCCATGTGGATTGGAGAATCAATCAATAATGGGTTTTCCAGAAATTGTCGTGGAGAAAAATCTTTTGGATATAAGATCACTCCACAGTGGCAGTCCTGAAATTGAACGACTTCGATCCTCTTCTTTTCAGCTGCTTGCTCCAGCCATCGCGTCGTTGCGTCGTCGCCGATCCAAATTTGGAACGGAGTGGAGTGTTCGTCGTTTGGTTTTAGATTTCGACGAGGAAAGTTCCTCATCGAGATCTTGAACGAGGCTCCTCTGTCTTCGACAACAGTAACATGAATTAATTTAATATAATTTCGCTAAACCAAGGTACAGTCAGCAATTTAGTATGTATGTCATCTTACCGTTAGTCGACTATGGTAAAATGAGTTCATGAATCATTTAAGAAATTTTTTTAAACTTTAGTGACTAAAAGTGTTACTATTAAAATCTYATTGACTRAATAGACACCAACTTCAAACGTTGGAGGCCAAAAATATATCTTTTCTTAAAAATTTCAAACTAATAAAAAACGTAGTTGTAAATTATTCATAATCTATSTTTTCATCGTTTTTTACSATAGTAATGTAATGTTAATATAAAAAAATATATACATTTTTAAGTATAAAATTTTACAAAAATGATATAATTCACATATGATATAAAATACACTACATTTTATATTACAGTATTTTAATTTAAGATAAAATAGTTGTAGAATTTGATTAAAATAACATGCTATATATTAAATAGTTGTATAATGAAAGTCTCCTTTTGTTTCTTTTCCTCTCCTCTATCCAACCTTTACTATAATTCAACTGATAGGGCTACGTCATCTACAGTATTTATTATTTTAACGTTATATTATAAGTGTATTTGTTATAATTTGAAGGGTTTAATATATCTCTAAACTTTTAAAGTATATGATAGTTTCTTAAAATGTCAAATAAGTGTCGAATTCTTTTGTCTAATAAGTTCTTAACCTATTTATAAAAATTTTAACATTTAAGAGTATTTAGACACAAAATTGAATATTGTGTTAGAATAAGATCCTAACTTTTTAATTTTTTGTCCATAGATCTATGAACTTTAAAAATTAAAAAAAAAATCTAATATGTCGTAAAAATGAAAATTTTAAGGATTAAGTTCAAGGTCCGACTTATTAGTTACAAAATTGAAATTTCAAAAACTTACACTTTTAACCTTTAGGGACTTATTAGAAACAAAATTAAATGTTTGGTGACCAATTAAATATACTTTAGAGATAATTAATGTCTTTATCCGCTATTTTGCAAACTTATTTTCACAAATGGTCCAATATTTACAAATTTTACCGTCTTAGATTTCTGGATTTAAAATTGTTTGAAAACTAAATTATTGTGGGACCTAAATCAATCATTCTCATAATAGGTGCCTGAGTTATGCTTGGTTTAGCATGTGTGCTACCATTTATAGCTTATATATATTAAAAAATAAGAAATGAAATATGGTTAATTGTGTAAATTGATATAAAAAATCGTTAAAAAAAAACGCAGAAAAGTGTCCAAATAATTTGAGAAATTTAATCATTTAAATCTCTTAACATAATTGATCTCCCCAACTTCTTGCAAATCATCCATGGTGTTTATGACCAACTGCCTCTTTTCTCTTATTTATCTAATTTTTTTGTAGCATTATTTTAAATTGTAAAATGTTCCTAATGTATTTATTACCTCAATATTATCCGCTTTAGGTATAATCATCACGACTTTACTTTTGGTTTCATCCAAAAGAACTCATACCAATGAAGACATTGTCTCATTCTTATATACTCACGATAATCCTCTTACTTAGCCAATGTAGGATGTTGGTCGCATTTTCAAAAATCGTCGCCTCAAACAAAAAAGTACTACTTATATCTTGCTCAAATAGTCGTTCATCCGTTTACAACCCTCTCATTATCTTAAACAAAGTACCATCGAGTCTCCCCTCAAGTAGACATTCATCCGTCCAACTCTTATCCAAGCTAACTCCTCTTTCTCAGAGCACACCGCTTGTCTGATAKAACTCAACTATGGATCGTACCATGACTACCATCTTTTCCAAGACTCACCACTTCTTTGTCCAATACCAGTAGCGGATCTAGAACTTGACGTCTAGGGGYTTAAATATGTATCAGGACAATTTTGAATGCATTGA